AATATTTTATACTAAAATTGCATATAAAATTATTGATGTAATAGATGAGAATTTCATTAGAACAACTTCAGCATGTTTGTAACGAAATAAAAAATAAAAATGAAATTGCTATCATAAAGAAGTATGGCCGTATAGGAAAACATCAAACGAGAATAATTATGAGTAAGATAGTGTATATATGCTTACATTTTAATAAATTATCAATAAGAAAAAAAATGTATAACACTTAAATAAATTTTATTTAAATAAATTCTTGATACTTATACATATAACATTTACTTTCTAATTTAATGTCAGTAATTGCCGCATGTGGCATATCTATTTATCTCTTTCTACCAATCTGGCCTCGTATATTCGATGTAATTCTGGCTATAAATGATTCCCGATCACGCTCTGCGATTTATATTGCAACAGAATATTTTGTTGATCAAGAAAACTTTTCCTACTTAATTCTATTGCATACAAACGCAGCTTCGTGTATAGGAACAACTGCAATGGTAGCAACAGGCACAATGCTGATAGCATACCTTAAACATATTTGTGGAATGTTTAGTATTGCAAGGTAGAATTTAATACAATCATTTGTTTTATAAGCAAAATCTATTCTTTGTTTATTCTTAATCAGATCTAAAAAAATTAAGAACTTACAGAAAAAAATTTAAATTTATATAGTTTCCGTATTAAGAAGGCAATGGCAATTAATATGCAACAAGATGTTAATGAAGAGAAAATGATTATAATTTATAAAGGAATAATCTGTGCGATAGATATTCATCGCAAAGCTACAGAGTCAGTACACATTCTGCAGTATGTGTATAATGTGCCCTACTAATTTTTGTTTTATTTCTGAAGGTTTTCTCAAATCTTTATAAAGAGTTTTGAACGATCTTTCTTCTGTTTAATAGCGGCTGGTATGGTTTGCTTAACCAGCGCTCTTGTTCAAGTAAGTTTTATTTTTTGTTATTAAATATTATGTTATTGAATTATATTCCAAGAAAGATACAATTTTCATAAAATTAAGAATAAATAAAAAATCTTTAATTGGAAAAGTATAAGAAAATAATTTTCTTTAAAAAAAATCATTCAAAAACTCATAATTATTCTTCGTTTATCTGTTCTTTATAATCATAAGCTGTATGCATTATTCGCACGCATGTCACAAAAATAATACAGTTTTCTAATGCGCAACCAATGAAAAAAATAATTTATTATGTAATGCAAGCTGTGTGTGTATAATTTGTTCTAAGGAATTACAAAAAAACTATAAAGATTTTTGCTTGTAAAAAGTTAATAAACACATATAACATATGTTTAAAATTTTTTAGATCATATCATATAATAGCACAGAGCAACTTGTATTACAACTTTCACGCATAAGTGTCCTCTACATGTACATGTTTTTGTCCAATTATATCGCACAAGATATTACAGATCATAATGAATACGTATTTGCTACAGTGTAAGAGACATTTGCATCATACGTTCATTACTTAAGTAATTGTTTTATAAATAATTATAACAAAGCTAAGTTAACATATGTATTCAAAAATTATATTCCTTAAACAAACATACTATAACAATTTATGCTATAACAAATATTATTATTTTTTCATGTTAGGTTTTACATTAATTTTCTTTTTTTTACATTGCTTTGTAGATATAATGTTGAATGGTATGTGGCTCCGATACACATACAGAAAATGATGTTATTTCTACTGCAAAAGGGTACAAAGGCTTTTCATTTGATCCTCGGTGGAATATTCATTGCGTCTATGGAAAGTGCTGCTACGGTAAGAGACATATACAAACCTTTTGTTCCCCGCGAATATTATTGTTTAATCGAAAATAATAACATTCACATCCATTCAACATTTTGACTACTTTAGAATAATTTAGATAATCCACTAAAGTAGTTCTATTAAAATAAGTTGAGAATAAAATGTAGTTTAACTAAGCTGAAAAAAAAATAGAATAAAGAACAGAGTTTTTTTAATAAAAACTGTTGAATCGGTACTATATATTCATATGGTGTGTTGCACTCAAAAATATTATACAATAAATCAACTTTCCTTATTTGAAGAGCTATAGATGCATTAATTCGAAAAAATTGATAATTTAAATAAGAAGGTGGAAATCGCCTATATAACACTATTCAACATTTAAATTGAATTGTAACAAAAACATTGCAGAGATTAGAACATTTGTATAATTATATTAAATTTTGGTTCATTGAAAATAAAATGATGCTCTTACAAAAATAAGCATAAAATATTTGTTTAGATTATAATTTTTTTAAAAAAGTACCTTTCAATACAATTTGGAGACAGAATCGTTAAATTGTATCACTAAATTCCTAAATCATACCGCGCGACCAGAGACGGAAAACAAGAATGTGCCGAACCCTCCGCAATCGTTAAATACATATATGTGCGAAAGATTCCTGCTCCCCTCCCTCCTGATCAGACACCAAACATAATCAATTTTAAATGTCGCTCGTAAACAGACGGCTCAAAGACAAAACAAAAATGACAGTTCTTAAGCCATGTTACTAGCATCACATCCGTGTCATTACCTTTAAAATAATGTTTCGTTTAGAAAATACAAAGGAGATATAATTTAATCGTCGACACGACTTATCCAACTCCACCCTATTGTCCTATTATTTTAACAAACATTTTCCACACAGCTTCAATATAGCTTCTTACAGAATGAAACAAAAAAAGATATTTTATTTTTTACCATTACAGTTGATGGGTACTTCAATATCTTACTTTACTGTTCTCTATTCTACAAGTACGAAATAATA